CGAGAAGACCCTCGCCTACGAGAACATCCAGAGGACGGGTATGGCAAACCGCACTTCGGCGACTCGTGTTTCTCAGACCAAGCCCAAGAAGAAAGGCCCTTGTGGTCACTGCGGCGGCAAGACTCACGATGAATCTTCTTGTTGGAAGAAGTATCCTGAGAAGAAGCCGAAGGGTGGGGGGAACAAGAAGGATGAGAAGGGCAAGGGAAAGGACAATGGACCTCCGCATAATCACTCGCACGCTACCGTCAATGAGTCTTCGTCAGCCAATGTACTAGTATCTACTACCGCTGAGGCTTCGCAATCGATCTCTGCTTCTTTCTACGGCTCGTCTTCGGACGATTATCGGTTGACTACTTGGCTGATGGACTCAGGTGCTTCGGAACACATCACTCCTTACTTCGACGACTTTGACACCTATGAGGAGTTTGCCTCTCCAATGGTTTTCGGCACTGCTGCAGCCGGCTCGCCGCTTTATGCGCCCGGTGAAGGCACTGTTCGTGGCCGTACATGGGTCGAGGGCTCTGGTTGGGTTAATACCACCATTAGCCATGTCGTTTATCTTCCGAATGCATCGTGCCGGCTCTTCTCCTGTGGAGCCGTTGAGCGGAAAGGTCACACCCTTGTTGCTGGTGGAAAGCGCTGTTCTATCTTTTCTCGGTCGCTCTCTGAAGCACCGAAAACTGGTATGACGATTGAAGGAACTAAGATACTCGAGGGGAAGTACATCGAAACCTCGAATGTCTACTACATGTTCCTTCAAATACCTGCGAAGGGCGACGCAAAGGCTTCTGTTCAGCCGGCTGTCACTGACTACTGGACGTGGCATCGTCGACTTGGACATCCCTCTAAAGAAGCTATTTCACGTCTGCCTGCGAACTCTAAAGGTGTTGATCATATCGATCCTCCGCCTGCTAACGCGCCTGTCTGTGAAGGCTGCGAGTGGGGCAAGTCTCATCGACTACCGTTTCCTCCCTCTGAGAAGCGTGCCACCGTCCCTTGCGAACTCATTCATACTGATGAGGATGGACCCATGGGCACAGAATCGATCAACGGACACAACCTTCATTACGTCTCGTTTCTTGATGACTGTTCTGGTGTTGGGCGCACGTACTTTCTTCGCCACAAGAACCAGGCCCATCAAGCCTTTCGCGAATTCAAGGCTTGGGCTGAGACCAGTACAGGTTACAAGATCAAGACCGTCCGCTCGGATCGAGGAACGGAGTTCACTTCGGAAGCATTCACATCGATTCTGAAGGAGTATGGGATCGAACACCAGAAGTCTACACCTGATTCGCCGCAGCAGAATGGACGTGCTGAGCGTTGGAA